TGTGCTGTGTCTGGGTTTCAGACCAGCTGAAACCCAGACACAGCACATACAGGACTCAAAACACGGAGTGTCCAGGTGGATCCGGGACAGGTGGCAACCCTAGCTCCACTATAAATCTAAATTCTTGGAGTTCTAGGAACCAGCGGGTAACCCTGGCATTCCGCCCCAACAGATAATATCGGAGCGGTTCTAAGGCCCACTTAATGGCCAAACACTCTGGTTCGACTATGGCACCGGATAATTATTTTTTTATAAAAAAATGTTCCACTTAACTTTATTGCTATCACACAGGAGCTAACATGCCCCTGTGTTTCACAGCAGTACATAAATCCACACTCTCCAGCCTTCTCCAGCCTCCTCTACACTACTCCACACTACTCCTCACCTGCTATCTACCACCCCCCCCAGTCATCACAACCACCCACCCTACTGCCTCCATGGACTGAAGCCCACTCTAAATGTGAACTTCACCCCTTTGTATTAGCACAGCAGCCAGCTGATGGAAAGGGCCGGCAATAACCCTGGTGATGGAAATTCTCAGCTGGCAGTAGGAAGCCACTGGTGTGGCCGGCAGTACGGCGGTACCCGGCTCCTGCTTTGGCATGGAGGTAAGTAGCTTACCAATGATAATTGCCGCCTGGCACACTTAAAGGGACATCGCCTTCATGAAAGCAGCGCGGCGGGATTCCCTATGCATGAAACCCTTTAGAGCTCTCACCCGCTTGCCCTGACCTCGTTCTGAAGGAGATCAAATAATTTGCATGATTCTTGGGAGCGTTGTCACCCACTAGTGTGGCGAGCTGGGCGTGCACGCACCTTTCTCTATATATAGAGGCCGTGGGACTTTTCCGGGTGCTGGAATTAAAGGGACTTGTTACTACTCACCCCTCTTACTGCTGACGAGCTGAACAGAAAGTCCGGAGACTCAGTGTCAGCTGTATGTGACAATTCACTTCCTATACGCCGCGCCGTGTGACTTCTCAGGAAGAGAGAGAGAGAGATGGGGAGATAGCAATGAAGAGTGCGATATGTGCGCGGTCACCGTCATGTGACAACCACCTCACCGACCTGAAGTCACAAGGAAACCATTTATTTGTATCTCATATATACACGTTAGTGTGATCCGCTATCCGTGGACCTGGGTGCTAACAGCCAGACGGGGAGATGTGTACAAACCTCCCCGTGACCCTCTGGCTGGTGTCCCACCCAGCACCTGACAACCAGTGCACAGG